TTACAATTTAGTAACCTCAGTACCAACCAATTATATTCTGGGACATGAGAAACAGCTGTTGTAACACCAGAGCTTGAACAGTTTCATCTCAGCTATTTAAGGGGGATAAAAGAGCCAATATTTTCATTCCCTTGTGATATTATCAAGACATGATAAACAACCAAGACTATAGTATTAATTACATTAATTTGGAGAGGAGAGAGACCACTTTAATTGCTCCAAGCTGCAGAATAATTTTTAATGGGAAGACAATCATTCCATAAATTCACATTAGATAGAGTACTTTGTCTTGTTCCATCAACAGCAGAACTCCTGGAAGCAGAAAACAACCACCACCCCCCTTTAAGGTGGACTTCAGTAGGAGAATAATTTCTCATTGTTGTGTGTACGTGTTCTTGAACCCTACCTTGTTAAACTGTTTAATTAAAAAGAAGGTGTTTGTCTTGAGAGAGTCCTGATCTAAACAGGAAGTAGGGTTGACCCAGCTAGATTTAAATACTTTCTTATATGTAAAACAAGTACCAGTGCATTAGCCAACCACGGTGGAACCATTCCAGCTGCTTGGGCAGCTGGACCAGTATTATGGCTTGTATCTAAATGTCCTCCCCAAAGCCTCATGCAGTCATGGGTGGAGCTTTTTGGAGGTGGCTGGATTTAGGGTGTGTGACTATGGGATTAAGAATGCGATGCTAGGATTAACAGTGTGAGTGCTACCTGCCCTAAAGGGTAGGTAGGCTGGATAAGATATAAGGGACAGAAAGAGGCTTGTCACAGGTTGTTTTGTTGCTCAACTGCTGCTTGCTGCCTTCTGCCTGCCTGCTCTGTGACACCCTCTGCCATACCACCCTTGGAGCCAGCCAGCTATGAACTGAAACATATCCAAACTGTGGGCTAATTAAACCTTTCGCTTTTGGAGTTGGGTATTTTGCCTTGACAATGAGGAAAGTAAGCAAGACAACAAGTTGTAAGCGAACCTGGGAATGCTAGTAAGAGCCCCCTATCTTGAGGTAAAAAGTAAATAAATAAAAAAGGTGAGGATATAGCTCAGTAGCGGAGTATCTCTGGGTTCAGTCCCTAGTACCACTAAAACAAAATGTAATCACAGCAGGCAGGAGGCTGAGGCAGGAGGATCACCTCACATTTGAGGCCAGCTTGGGCTGCATAGTGAGACTTGACTCCCCCCACAAGGAGTATACTGCCTCTCCCTCATGGTTAAGAAGACCAAATGAATGATGGATATCAAATTTAAAATGCTTTGCTAACCATAACACCCTAAAAAGGAGAAGAGAAAGGAAAATATCACTCACTGAGTGCTTTCTCCACTGAGTTGTCTTGATCCTATTTTAATACTCATAAGAAACTTTAGAAAGAGAAAGAAAAGCATAAACAATGCAACAAGTATGTAAAGAGATGCCAAATTTGTCAATGTGGCGATTATTCAGATAAAATTGTATGACCTTTTTTTTTGAGACAGGCTCTTGCTATGTAATCCAGCCTGGCCTTGAGTTTATAGCCATCCTTCTGCCTCAGCATTTCAAGTGCTGGGATTACAGGCATGTGCCGCCATGCCTGGCTTCGATGGCTCACCCTAAGTACTGTTACATGGTGTGCTACACACACAAGCGTCCTCTCTCACCCACGGAGCACACAGGACATATTTAGTTACCTGATGGCCTAGTCTGCAAAGGCTCCTGGGATCAGAAGCTATATGCTTCCAGGGGTTGGGTTAGGACGGGTGTATGGAGCGGCCTTGGAGAATTCAAAATCTTCCAGGAAATACCTCTGAAGAGTTGTTGGATATAACAAGCATTGCTGTGGCTTTCCGCTAGACACTTGTAATCCCAGGCCACCAAGGCTCCATCCAGTGTTTTAGAAGCACTCATTCTAGAAACTCTCCATGACCATTGCTAATAAAGTCACACTTGCCAGGCACTGTGCAGATGTACATGCTGCCACAGTTATGATGGAGCAGTTGTAGGGACCAGATCTCTCCCTCCTCTTAGTACTGTGGAAACTAGAGCTGAGAAGAGAAATTCAATATGGCGCCGGTAACAAATACTCACACCAAGGAAGGAGGGGCTGGGAGAACTCACAAGAACACCCTGAGATTGTGTATTGCTCACTAGCTAGAACCAGGGGCACAACTATAAATAGGGAACACCCACAAGAGTATGAAAATTCTGAATATTATAAAGTTCTGAACCATAGAATTCCTTTTTACATACAAATAGTTTCCTAAAGTAAGTGTCCAATGGAGAAATTGTGTAAAATGTGAAACAACAATTTGAACACGAAAGATCATGCAGAACTGAGTGTATCAATCTGGAATAATGCATAAAATACATCATACGGAGAGAATTTCAATTACAAAACAACATTGTTCAATGTGATCTCACTTTTATTTAAAAATGTATAAATATAAGTACAGTGTGGAAGTGTATATGTGGAAATGTTGACTTTGGTTATCACTTGATAATAGCTATAGGTCATTTCATTTTCACTTTGCTTATGTATGTTTTCTAAATTTTCTATAACCTGTAAAAATATTTTTTCAGTGTTATTTTTTTGTAATCACTGGGATAGTAGTAAATAACATTGAACACTTACCGCTACATACAGTGTTTTTGCCTCTGTCAGGTCATTTTTTCTTCCCAATATGTAGTTTCCCTGAATGGAACAAGGCCGCATTTCAAGGAAGCAAAGGAATTAACATCAAATGTAGAACTTTGTGTGCTCTTTCCACTGCTTCTCAGGAATGTGGAAATTGGGCTCTCCCTAACTTCTTCAAAGAGACTTTATTTTGGAAACAGGCAATAAAGTTACAAAAAGGATGAGGTGGGAAGGAGGATCCCAGTGTAGATAAGATGATGACTCAAGATACAGTATATGTTCCTTCCTGTCCCAGAAGCTGAATTACCTTGGGGAAAAAAGGAAAACCCTTATCTAAGTGAAGGCGAATGGCAGTTATATGGATAATACTAAAATTGCTTTCAAAGAAATACCTTTGTTTTAGTTGGAAGATACAAAGAGAGATGAAACAGAGAGGACTAGGAAAGCTGGACACCCTGCAGACCTGGACCTGGAGACCTCAAGCATGTCTGTACAAAGATCCACTAAAGTGCCATTTACTACTGTTTTATGATGACCTAAGGGGCCATGAGAGACTATCATTGAAAGTTAGTTTTGCTGCCTGGCAAGTGCAAGGTCCTGAGTTCGATTTCCAGTACCAAAAAAGAAAATTAGTTTTGGCTTGTTGTCTTGTTGTCAACCAACTTTATTTTTTTACTTCGTGTGTGTGTGTGTGTGTGTGTGTGTGGTGTTTGTTTTGAGAAGGGTCTTGCTCTGCAGTTTAGGCTGACCTTCAACTCACTTTGTAGCTCACGCTGGTCTCCAAGTTGTGGTATCCTCCTGCCTTGGCCTCCTGCCTTGGCCTCTTAAGTGCTGGGATTACAGGTGTCCATCACCACAGCCAGCTTTGTTATTAAGTAATCTTCAAAAGCTTAATTGTCACAAAGGCTTATATCAGTGGTGAAGAAGCAGTTTGCGGCCAATCCAGTATCCCACCTTTCTTCCCCACTGATGCAATCCAAATTTTGTTTGGGTACTGAGCAGCAGCTCCCCGGAGTACGTAGGCTTTGCTGGGATGGATTATTTTTAGCCCCTGAGGAAGGAGGTTTTAGCCCCTGAGGAGCCAGCCGCGGGGCCACCTGGCTACTGCGGAGACATCACCCAGGGAAAGCTAAACCCTCTCCCTGAAGCCGAATGCACTGCATTCTTGGCTGAAGAATTTAGCCTCAGAAACGAGTTCCAGCCAGTGGTAAACCTGTTCAGAATAAGGCAAATGGGCTTACAGAAATAATATAGCAATTCCTTTACTGATTACAAGCCGCACCAAAATACAAATGAAAATCAATTTATCATAAAGAAACTACCATTTTCCTATTGCTGTATATATTTCAAAGGTGATTTATCAGGCTGATTAATTCTCAGGCAGTATTTGTCTCCAAACTTAATTTTTTTCTACTCCTTTCCCACCCCCAACCGCCACCCTGATTCAATTTACATGACATTGCATTGCTAAAGAGACTCACTTGCTCCTTCATTCATTTGTATGTTTTGCATTCATATACTTGACGAGCACTTAAGTGTATCAGGCATGGTGTTCAATAGATCATCCTGGCCCTCATGAAGTTCATGTTCCTGCTGAGAGTTCTATAATGTTAGTAATATGTTACATTATATGTAATCTTAAAAATAACACCCAGGTGCAAAGCAAGGAGTTACGCCATGTGCAATATATATATTGTTATATTACTTCAGTCAAAATGGGAGAAGAGAGGAACAGCATCATTGCTGAGCTGTGGACCGGGTGCAGGGGTGGACCACACTCCTTCAGTCCTTCCTTCGATCCAGGGAAGTCTCACATTGATCTCTTCCCAATGTTAATAACCCTTGCCAACGTGACCCATTTTTGGATTTCAATACGCCAGTGCCTTGAAGTAAGACTTGGCTTAGACAATGCATAGACCCTATTGTATTTTACTTAGCTTTTCTGCAGAATACGGCTTTGGTTAGCCATTCACTAGAAAAGCATCCATCATGGGCCATAGTGTGGCAAGTAGGCGGGGCGCATCGTGCTGCTGATGTCCGCCTAAGAAAGAAAAGGGAGGTTAGATCCACAGCGGTGGCTAAGAGAGTATTAGGAGCCTAGCTCTCACCAGTTTGAACGTCAATTTCCTACCTTGGATGAGGAGATTCAGGCATCCCAGCCACTTTCTTTTCAAGCAAATGAAGAATCTCAGTGTTGACTCAAACCTATAAGCGAGGTTCCTGGTGGACCCATCCCAGCCGGCGTTACATTCATGGTGTGACTGAGAGCCACATGTGTGCACACACACGAACACATATGTGCTACGTACGCATGAATATAGCACAGAACACCTCTCATATATTCTGGAAATCAATTTGTGGTTCAGAGAGAAATGACAGGTAGGCTAACACTGACAACCGGCCTGGCTGTAAAGAAACCCTCCCCTTCCTGTGTCCAGCAGCGCTCCATGAGGGCCGCCTGGGGAGGGATGGAAGGCCATCATTGACAACGAGCCTGGGAGACCAAGGGACACAAGATCTCAGCATGTGCACAGCGGCCTGGGCAGAAGGAACACACTCAAAGCTGCCAGAAGGTGCCAGAACAGCATCTATGTTCAGGGGTAAGCAGACACAGATTAGACCATGATTGGATTCTTCATGTGGGGCAAGGAGCTCAGAGGTGCACCAGGCTTGTGTAAGGAGATGTTTAAAGATCACCCAAGTGGGGGACGAGGAGGTGTAATTTTTCTCGACAAACCAAGGCACAATGCAATTGTATATTTAGGAACATTCGCCTCCCTGAGCCTCGTAGCCCCACACACATCCCTTCCTCCAGGCAGGACAGGGGAAGGGTGTCACAGGAGCATTGTCACTGAGAGCCAGAACCAGTCCTCCAAGCTGGCCCCTCCCCACCAGGCAGCCGGGTCAAACACAGTCCATGGCCAGCGAGTCCTGTTTAATTTAGGCAGGAAGAGCAGACTGCCTTAATTTGCACTCACTCGGTGGTTTGGTAAAATCCACTCCTGGACCCTGGTGGAAGCAAAGAGCCCGGTGGAGGTAAAATCCACTCCTCTTGCTCTTTCTCCTGAAAAATAAGGAGCCGGAGGAGCTCTGTGAGCCGGACTCACACGCGAGGATTTTGAGGGCAAGACTGCAGGGTCTCTGGAGGTGAGACGTGAGGGAGGGGCCACTGCAGTTCAGCCCATCAGATTCGGGCTGGGACAGGGCAGATCCTGGTTTTCCTAGGTTCAGTACCTTTTTGACAGCATTTTTTTTTTTTTTTTTGGTTTTTCTCCGGTACCAGGAACTGAACTCACGACCTTGTGCTTGCCAGGCAGGCGCTTTTGCCGCTGAGCTAAATCCCCAGCCCCTTGACAGCATTTTTTAAAAAGCCTTTTCCTTTTATTAGTTTGCAGTAGACAATGATTGCATTCCTCCTGTGGAGCTGGTACATGTACCGTACAGAGCACAGCTTCATCTTTTTCATCCCCTCCCCTGCTGTCTCCTCCCTCCATCCTTGGTCCCTTCCCTTCTGCGAAAGATCTATCTTTGTTTCCTATGATCTATCTTTTATGCTCTTTATTTATACTTCAGGTTTCTCACAGAAGAGAAGCCATGTGATATTTGAGCTTGTGTAGCTGATTTATTTCACTTCACATGATGGTCTCAAGGTGCACCCCTTTTTCTACAAATTAGAGTTTGTCCTTCACAGGAGCCTTGCAAATGGAAGTGGCTGTACAGACAGCCAGGGTGGAGAAAAGACCCAGTCAAGGGTCATGTCTGTTGATTGGCTGGTTCGTTTGTTCCTTGGTTTATCCACTCATTCATCACGAACACATTTGCTGCAGCAGATGGGTGCTACACAGTGCAGGCGACGGACAGCGTCACACTCACTTTCTTAGAAATGCAGATTCCTGGGCTCCCTACATCTCCTGCGACAGGCGGTTCCTAAGACTAGGCAAAGGTGGCAGGATGCCAGTTCTGAGAGGAGGTGACACAGAGACCTGAGCATGGTCTTGGTCGGCCTCTCATTTGCTGTGAGGGTAGCTGGTTGCTAGTTGTGAACAGCCTGCTAGGGAGGTCCACGTGATAGGAGCTGATGTCTTCATCAAATCCTGCATGAATGAGCATGGGACCAGTTCCTCCTGGCTAAGCCTTGGGCCCCGTGTAGTCCCTGACATCCAAACTGCAACCTTGTGAGAGACTCAGCAGTGACCCACAGTAGCTGGGTGGTAAAGCAGGTGTTTTTTGTTTGAAGCCTCTAATTCGGGCTTAATTTGTTACACAGCACTGGATAACTAATACAACTACTGCATCAGAAACTCTGCAAATGAGGCCCTGGAATGTATAGCTGAACTTGTTTTCCAGGTGATTCCTATGGACAGGAGTTTGAGAAGCATTTTATACCTAAATTAAAAGCGAGAGCTTTCAAGCCAGACTCTTCAGGTTCAAATCCTAGTTGGGCCGCTTCCCAACTACAAGGGCTTCAGTGGTTACTGACCTCTCTGAGCCTTCATTTCTTCTGTAAAATGTTACTTATTTATAACAGTACACACTTCAGGGCTGTTAAAAGGGTTCATTGGGTTGTTATGTTTAAAACAGTTAGCACACCGCCTGGCAGCAGTGAGCACAGCAAGTTTAGCGATGATTCATTCATTCAGCAACATTGCTAAGAGTGGGCACTGCACTAGCTGGTGAAGTTACAGGATTCACCAGACACAGCTCACTTCTCCTGGCACTGGTCCCACAGGGCAGAGAGAGGGGCTAAAGGAATAAACACAATCAAGGGTTGAAGATGCTGGGACCGACTTCTGCAGCGTGGAGGCCAGATGTCGGCTCTGCCGTGAATGAGGGCTTTGAGGAAAGATGGAGGGTGTGGGCTTGATCCGCCCCAACCCTCACTCTGTTTTTCAGAGTCTCCACGGCTTCCTTTTTGTGTGGACAGCAGGCAAACGTGTTGTCATAGCGGACTCTTCGGACAGGAGCTGCCAGAGGCAGAAAGGGCCCTATCTCTTGTTCACAGAGCTCCAGCCCTAGGTTTTCGTTCTGCTCCTGACCAGACCTCCCGGCCCATTAGCCCAGGGGTGTTGATATCTGCTCTTCTGTCTCTCTGAAAGGTTTTTCCCATGTTCCTCGCATGGTGGGTCCTTTCTGATCCTTCCTCGGTTTAATGCCTCTCGAGGAAGTCTGCCCTGCCAGTCTTTTCTGAGAACTTCCTATTTCCCAAGCAGTGATCACATTCAGCGCTTACTAAATCTGTTTATTCTCCTGTTTACCATCCTCCCGCCTAGCAGACATCACTCTCCCTGGTCTGTTCCACTCGCCATGATGCATACCATGAAAAGCAGCGGCAGCCAGGAAATACGTTACAAAAGGACAAACGGATAAATGAATGTGTTTTTCATAAGCATTGCAGCTCTTCATGATTTGCTCAAATGTCAATCTTCATTATGAAGCACATTAATTCAAATTCTGGAAGATCAAACTGCTAAAAAAAAACAATGCCAAAGTAAGTCACTTTCACTCCAGGAGGCTGCTGTGAATTGCCTGGGTGGGAGCACAGGCAGCATTACAATAGTTAACGTTCACTACGTACCTCCTCCCAGGTGCTTGTGTGAGGTTAGGTGTTTCACACACACCAACACTGGAAGTGGACACCATTTTGGGGGGTGGACTGCACAGGGAGATACTGAGGTTTAGAATTCTTCAATCACTTGCCTAAAGTCACAGCCACTACGGTGCAGTATGAACACAGGAGGTCAGACGTGAAAGCTCCATGTTGAGTCACTGGACTATTTGTCCCCAGTGGCGTTCAGCTCTTTAAGTAAACATTCTGCACCAATACTGTAGAAGCGCGCACAGTTGAGCAACGGTAGCGTATGGCACCGTAGCATCAGGCAGGCAGAAAAATACCACAAAGGTTTCACACGGTCACAGCCAGGGGACAATGGCCATGAACATGAGAATTGGGCTGTGGCCAACTAACTGGCTACTCATTCACAGTGACCCCTTCTGCCACCTGGGGGTCTCCTGTTGTTTGGAAGAAAGATAGTCAGGGATGCGGTAGAGACTCCCAGTGCCTCCAGATATATGTGTCCTCATCCCCCAAAACAGGTCTGGTGGTCTCCTTCTAAACCCCCGAAGGATTAGCATTCTTCTTGTCAAGGCAGCATGTAATTTATAGCAATTGGCAGTTCCTTTTGCAAGAAATTCCAGGATCAGACAAGCCGCGAGTGGGTGACAGGTCAGCTCACAGCTTAGATGAGGAAGATCTTTCTTTGTTTCCCTTTCTTTTCTCTTTTCTTTTCTTTTCTTTTCTCTTTTCTTTTCTTTTCTTTTCTTTTCTTTTCTTTTCTTTCTTTTCCTTTCCTTTCCTTTCCTTTCCTTTCCTTTCCTTTCCTTTCCTTTTCTTTTCTTTCTTTCTTTCTTTCTCTCTTTCTTTATTTTCTCTCTCTCTTTCTTTCTTCTTCCTTTCTTTTTTTTTTTTTGGTGAGGGGGTGGAAAGGACAGGGGAAGGTCAAGAAGCAGGGGAGGGGAAGACTTACAGAGCCCTGGATGCATCCGCCTTCGCACGGAACAGGCTGTGACTGAAAGTTCCCATTAGCAACAAGCCTCCACAAGCAGAAAGGAACAAGAAAGGGACCCGGCTCGCCCAGCCTTAAACAGGGCTCAGGCCAGCATTCTTCTCGTGTCATGAGGAATGACCGGGCCAGCAGTTGGAGTGGTGTCCCTGGCTAAAATCCTCCGGAGAAGAGAACAGTTAGGAAAAATGTGAATTACGCCTGTTGAGCAATTCTCTTCTTGAGGCTTACTTAAAGCCAGGGTGGATATTTTTAGTCTACTTTGATGAGCTTTAAATATTCAGAGTTTCGGAGCACTAAAGCCGACGTTCAAATTTACATATAAATATATCAAAGTTTATTTAATTATTAGTCATCTTCATACCTTTTTTCTTATGGCTCCTGAGCTGGTGGATCACACTTTTGCCATGTGACCAGGCTCTGGGAAAGGAAGAACACAAGTGTTTAAAAAGACAAGCGGAGAGGCAGAAGAGTTGGGAGGTGCTATACTGGGGTGGATGTGAAGTTATGCTGAATTTATAATTTGAAGAATGATTTCATTGCTGAGCATGGCAGTGCATATCTGCAATCCCAGCTACTGGGGAGGCTGAGGCAGGAAGGTGGCAAGTTTGAGCCTAGCCTGGGCAACTCAGTGAGACCCTGTCTCAGAATAAAGAAAAAGGGCTGCAGATGCAGCTCAGTGGTAGAGTGCTTAGCATGCATGAGGCCCTGGGTTCGATACGTTGAACCACCAGAAAAGAAAAAAAAGGAAAAAAAATTGTTTTGTTTAGATTGAAAGTTTACAGAATGGTTTACCTGGCCAGAGCAGAGTCCCTGCCCACACACACTTCTGCGGGCACATGTCTGCGTTTTCTTCTACTTAGGCTCCAGATATTATGGAAGTGGCCTGGAAACTACTTGTTTATTGATCTTGAGGATCCAAGGATTCAAAGAAACAGAGGAAATTCAATCAAGAATCCACCTTGGAGCATCTAGAGGTCATTTGGGTGACTAGCTCTATGGTCCCTCAGGTGGGTGTGACCCGGCTTCTGTGCGTGGATTGCCAACTAGAAACGACATGGACAATCATGAAATGCACTTAGTCAGGGAAGGAGGACTGACGTGATGAGCCCTCACTTGAGTGAGCTAGCAGGTACCTTCCAGGGGCTCTTGGTTATTGTTGTGGGCCTCAATCAGGACCGTACCACAGGCGCATAAAAGAGCTAGATGGTATAAAAAAAAAAATCAGTTGACAGGACATAAGGTTCTCGAGTCTACTGCATGTCGGAAGTTAAAGATGCGAGGGGTTAGGACAGTGTCGACAGACTATTGCACAATCAGAAGTGTCTCAATCTGATGGGAAAGTGGGCTTGAATTGCGGGGTGGTGTCCTGATTTCCTCATTTCCTGAGTTCATGTTTCTCATTTTCTCTCCATTACTCCATCTATGAATGGATCCACAGATGTCAGCAGAGACCCCCGCAGACGTGGCCGCCTCCTCCTCTCGCAAACTGTAACCCAAGCCGGTGTCGGTATGTTTATTTCTCCCCAGGTCTCGTTCTCCCCTGGGGTGAGAGTCCCCAGAAGGGGGGTGCTGTGCGGCACCCACATTCTCTTTTATTTGCCTTGGTACCTGTTGGCAGTACTTAATAGTGACATCCATCGGGAGAGCTGGTGCACCACATACACACACATGCTTAAAGGAGGTGAGCGCAGCAGTCACTGCCAGGAGAAGCGATCGAGGTAGAACTTCTGTGTCCTCCACCAGGGGTCAGTACGACTTTTATGAGACTCCCAGCATGACGTCCCGGTGTAGAAGAGGGTAATTTCTTTGTCACCATTTGTCCCTCAGAAAACAGCAACAAGGAGTTTCTGATAGAATTGCAGACTCTAGGATCGCATCCTGGATCGAGTGAATCCGACACTCTGGAGCTGGGACCCAGCACTCTGTCTAAACCATCTGGTGACGTGACCCCTGCTGACATTTGAGAGCCACTGCTGTCATTCTTCTAACTCATTCCTGCCTCAGGACCTTTGAACTCGAGAGACCCTAGGCCTGGAGCACTCCTCAAGGTCTTTCCTCATCAGCCCTGTCAGCTGAACTGTTAGCTCACCTCAGAAGCCACCGCTGACTTCTCCTGTCTGCCTCCCTAGTCTTCCTCACCCCAATCTGTGGCCTTGTCTCTGGAATTTCTCCACAGTGATCAGAGATTACCTTGTTCATTTATTCACTTGCTATTTTATTATCTGACTCCCCCATTTGAATGATAGCAGAAACCGCCCCTCTTTGGTACCACTCAGCCCCGTACCTGTGCCCAGCACATAGTAGGTTCTTAATAAAAACTTTCCCAGATTAATTATCTAGGAGCGTTTTTGTTTTGTTTTGTTTTGTTTTTTAACCAGCTGCCTTGAAGAAGGAAGATAAATTCAGAGGAAGCTGCCGTCCTGCGGGGAGGCCTGGCGTGGGGCCCGAAGCTGAGGGTCATATTCTAAATTCGGCCCTTGAAAATCCGCTGCCCTTGGGCTGGCTGGTTCACTAGATCAGTGGGGCTCCGCTGGGGCTGGCTTTGCTTCCCAGGAGTGTGTGGCGACATCTGGACACGTCCTTGGAGTCGCAGTTGGGGGTGCCGGTGAATATGGGGGTACCATCGGCCACCTGAGCGTAGGTAGGGGCGCAGGAAGTGCTGAGCATCCCGCAAGGCCCAGGACTGCCCCTAACCACAAGGGAGTAGCAGACCCCGCTGGCAACAGCACCCGGGCTCTGAACCCCGACCTTACCCTTGGCCCACTCCCAGACCCTCCTGAGCCTGAACTGTACATGAGGAAGGGCCAGAATCCCAGCCCAGGTGCCTGACGCCAGGCCAGGTACAGAGCAGCTGCTCCCTGAGCTTTGCCTCGGGAGTGTGGGAAGGGCGTGCTGGGGCCCCGAGGGCTGAGTTCCAGTCTCCTCCCTGCCACGGCTGAGGACGACAATAGCTGTGTCCCAGTCACCTCGGGAGGTCACAAGGGTAACACGGAGAAACCCGCCTGGGGTACCACAGCTCAGGGGTGGTGGCCCTGTGCTTGGCCGCTGTCTCCTTCCCTTCCTCTGTCTGCTCTCCTGTGTTGGTACACTTTTTTTTTTTTGGTACCAGGAATCGAACTCAGGACCTTGCACTTGCCAGGCAGGCGCTTGTGCCGCTGAGCTACATCCCCGGCCCCTGGTACACATCTGTGATGCGTAATGACGGCTCCTCTCGCTGGGTGTCGGGGTTGCACGTACGCAGCGTGGTAGCGCTCCTTCACGCCCCCCACCCAACCCTCGGTCTCCTTCCCATTGGCACAAGATCGCTCGCCCGGTCTCCTGCTACCTGTCCTCCAGTTCGCTCTTTATCTTTACCTTGGGCTTCTCCGATAAGAGAAACCACGTGACACTGAAACAGGTGGGTCTGACCCATTTCACCTAACGCGATGGTGTCACGGCGCCTCCATTCTTCCACAAATGACTCAAGCTTCGTCTTCTTCGGGGCACAGCGGTACTCCACAGTGCGCAAATATCCCCTTTCCCTTACCCACTGGTCTCTTGATGGACGTGGGGGCCACTTCCAGGACTCGGCTCTTGTGAGCTGCGCCGCCGGGAGCACGGGTGCGCGTGGGCCCCTGGAACACAACGCCTCTGACTCTTTAGGGAAGATGCCCAGAATGGGGCTGGCTGGGTGAATGGAGTTTCTATAGTTAGCTGTCTGCGGAATCCCCATGCTGGTCTTCAGAGTGGCTCTTCCAGTCTGTACTCCCACCAACAGCGGAGAAGCGTTCTTTGCCCCACAGCCCCTCCAGCAGTTGTTCTTGGCTGATTTCTCGAGGGTGGCCATCCCTTCAGGCCAGGAGGGCACCTCAGGGCTGTTTCAGTCGGGATTTCTCTGATGGCCAGCTACGCTGAGCGTTTTCCCAGGTATCTGTGGGCGCGTACGTCCTCCTCTGGCTTCTTTCTTCTTCTTGCCCCACCTCCTCCCCGTGCTCCCTCCTTGGTCCATATAGGCCGTCGTGATTCCCAGCAAAACGATCCCAGCAAGTCAGACCCTGCGTGTTTCAATCCAGCCCTCAGCCCTGCGAGCAGGAGCTACGTGCTCCAGCTTCCCAGCAGCCCCGGGGAAGGAACCGGCCCTTGGGCTCCCGCTTCCTGCCTGGGAATCGCCCGCTCCTCCACCCACCGTCCGCTGGGCTTTCCCATGCCGTGTGCACCCAGCCGCTTGCAGCCTTCCCAGGAGCGTGGGACCCATCCTCTTACGTGTCACCCGCGCTCAAGTGTCCTTGTCAAATGAAAATGTTCTGAAACTTTATGAAGATTGATTGGGCACACTTAGCAGCGTTTAAACATTTATTCATTTTGGTATTTTAATATGTTTTCCCATTTGGGCGTCATCTTTTTCCCATAGGAAACGTAGTCATAGACCTTTGAGAAAGCGTTTGTGTCCGGGTACTGTATGTAGAGAAAGGAAAGTCCGGCAGGGCCCACCGGTACACGCCTGGAAACCTAGCTGCTTGGGAGGCCGAGGCTGGAGGATCGCAACTTCAGGATCAGCACGGGCAATTTAGTGAAACCCTGCTTCAGAATAAAAACTAAAAAGGGTTGAAGATATAGCTGAGTGGTGGAGGGCCCTGGGTTTGAGCCCCTGACCTAAGTTTAATCTCTAGCATGAAAAAAAGAAAGAAAAAAGGAAAGAGAGAGAGAGAGAAACAGAGGGAGATTTTAGTTTCTTTTCCTGTGTGCATGTGTGAGCACAGGAGTGTTTTATACGACTCCCGCACTAAACGTTCTCTTTTTTGCCTTACAGACAATGGCATAGAGTTAATTAACTAGCAGAACAAATATGAGTTCAGTGACAGACACTTCTGTAGTTGCTGGTGCTATAGCAGGGGACAGAAAGCCCAAGTTCCTGCCCCATGGAGTTCACATCGTAAATGTAACAGATGAATAAATTAACACATCAGTAGATAGTGTGCCAGGTGTTGATTGGTGTTAAAGAGCAGAATAAAGGAGCTAGGAAAGCGGAGAGGGTGCTGCTGTTTGATTTAGGTGGTCTGTAAGGAAAGCTGATAGCTGAGAAGAGACTTGAAGCAAGCCAGGGAGTATTCACTGGGGATCCAGAGAGCAGACTGGCATGGCAGAGAGAAGCATGTGCAAAGGTCCTGGGGCAGGAACATGTTTAGCATCAATGAGGAACAGCAAGGTATCCAGCTGGGCTGGAGAAGAGAGAGTTAAGGGCCAGAAATGAGTTGAAGGTGGCCTGCCCAGGAGAGGCAGGGGCAGTTAGGAAAGATCTGCAGGACCATGTAGGTCACTGCGAGGATGGAGAGAGCCAGGCGCCCTGCAGGACTCTGACCAGAGGAGTTACAGGATTGGAGGCGTTGCTGGTGGATTTAGGAACTCTGTCGCTCCACTGTAGATCAACCAGTGGATTCCTTAGGCGATTCTTAGGTTTCTAGTGAAGGAAGAGGAAGGTGGTTGCAAAGCCTGAAATCCAGCCTCTGGGGACTGAGACAAGAGGATCATGAATTCAAGACCAGTCTGGGCTCCGCAGCGAGTTCAAGTCCAGCTTCAACTTCCTGGCAAGGCCCTGTCTTGAAACACCATCTGTCAAAAACTATATATGCTCAGAATATCTACTCAGATGAGACTGAGTCTGGCTTTCGGACACTACTTTGGGGCCTTCTTCTTTGTATGCTCCAGTTTACTGAGCCATCACCAACAACATAAAATCATATTCACTTGCAGAGGTGCGTGTCTGTCATCCCAGAAGTCTGGAAGCCTGAGGCAGAAGGATTACACATTTGAGCCCAGCCTGGGCAATTTAAAATTATACGCACTTAAGATGTACATTGCCGGGTGTGGTGGCGCACGCCTGTCATCCCAGCACTTGGGAGGCTGAGGCAGGAGGGTCGCTGTGAGTTCGAGGCCAGCCTGGGCTGCAAAGTGAGCTCAAGGCCAGCCTGAACTGCATAGCGAGACCCTGTCTCAAAAAAAAGACTAAAACAAAAAAAAGAAGTATATCATGGCAATTTCACAAGGTACACAATGTGAAACAATAACGATATAAAGCTAATTCAACACGCCTGTCACCTTATGGCCACCTTCTGTGTGTGTGTAGTAGAAACACAATAGACTGTTGCACCACATTCTCGGCACCGTGGGCACCTACTTATGGTGGTTTGACTGAACGAATTGTGGAGTGTACGACAGTGCAAAAATGATACAGGTTTAGAGGAAAGCATCCCTTGAATTTTGGGTTGTGACGTTTTCTTGGGCGATGGATACGTAGTAAGGTACTCTGTTGAGATACCAGCAGGGTGAACACAGACAGGGTGAACAACCGCTCCCCACTGCGTCTCAGTGACCAAGCTACAGTGTTCTCTCGGGTGGGTGTGTTCAGGGCATCTTCAGTTCACAGCGGATTCAGGGGAACCAAGCCCAATCATGGTCAAGGAGCAAGTGAAGGCCGTACAGCACGGTCAGTGATACACATGAAAGTGCAGAACCGACTCACCCTACAAAGGAAAATTTGTATTTTATTTTTAAGGAAGGGTCTCGGTATATCTTGGGCTGGCCTTGAATTCACTCCGAAGCCCAAGCTGGACTTGAACTTGTGGTGATCCTCCTGCCTCAGCCTCCTGAGTGCTGGGGTTATGGGAATATGCTGCCATGTCTGGTGGTATTATTATTATTTTAGTTCATGTTTTCAACATGTAATGATTACATTCATTATGGGGAGTTGGTACATGTACTTACTACAACTTAAATCTTTTCTTGTGCCCTTCTGTCCCACCTTGGTGTCTTGGTCTTTTTCCCATTTGCAGAAGATCTGTCTTCGTATTTCCTTTTATGAATCTTTGTTTCCTTCTTTGCTTTGTTTGTACTTTGGGTTTCTCCAGTGAGAAAAACCATATGGTATTTGAGCGTATGTGTCTGATTTATTTCACTTAACTTTGTTTTCGAGGTGCACCCATTCTTCTACAAATATATCAAATTTATCCTTCTTTATAGCCAAGCAGTACTCCGTTACGTGTCGATACCACATTTTCTTTATCTGTTCATCTGTTGGTGGACATACAGGTGGCTTCCATGATTTTTGAGACAAGTGTCTCACTATGTAGATCAGGCTGGGTTTGAACTCACCATGTAGCCCAGGCTCACCTCAAACTCCCGACAATCCTCCTGCCTCAGCCTCCCGCGTGTAGAGATGACAGTCATGTGCTGCTGTGTCTGACTCTCCTCGGCACCCTTTGACCATAGCCATTGTAATATTTATGAGGTAATAGCTCATTGTGGCCTTAATTTGCATTTCCCCTATGAGTAATGTTGAACACCTTTGCAGAGGCCCCTTGGGACCGTTTACCTGCCTTCTCAAATCCTGTGTCCATTCACATTTTTTTTGGGGGGGGCACTGCATTGTAATATTTTGGATATTAATCCCTTATCTGATGTATGGTTTGCAAATATTTTTCTTTCATATGCTGTACTTTTATCTTGCTATTTCTTTTGCTGTACAGAGACTTTAGTTTGCTGAACGCTTTTGTTTATTTTTGCTGTGTATACTCTCTCGGGATCTCTTTCTCTTCCTCTCTCTCTTTTCCTCTGGGCTGGGGATTGAACCAGGACCTTTGCGCTGAGCTACATTTGCAGCCCTATAAAGTTGGTTTTTTTTTTGTAGAGATGGAAGCTTGCAAAATTGTGTAGGTTGGGTTCTAATTTGCTGGGATACCAGGTATGTACCACCATGCTTCACTGAGATCTTTCTTTGTACGCCTATCAAGGGCTATGAAGTTGAGTTGTACTAATTCATTCATTCATTCATTTACTTATTCATTCATTATTCATTTACTTATTCACTCATTCATTCATTCAAATCAGTGATTGACTCCACCTAAGTGCTAGGACCAAGTGCGTGACCAAGACAGTGCGCCTTACCTCAAAGAAACAGAATAAAATGGCAGAAAAAAAAAAAAGAAAAAAGAAAGATCTCTTAGGTTAGACAGATAGTTCAAAAGCACAGTGCCTGCCTGGTAAGTGCAAGGTCCTGAGTTTATTTCCTGGTACAAAAAAAAAACCAAAAAAGCCACAATGTGGCCAGGTGTGGTAGCACAAGCCTGTAATCCCAGCACTCAGGAGGCTGAGGCAGGAGGGTCACTGAGAGTTTGAGACCAGCCTGGGCTACAAAGTGAGCTTAAGGCCAGCCTGAACTGCATAGAAACCCTGTCTCAAAAAGACAAAAAAAAAAAAGATCTTAACTGGTGAACAGAGCTAGGAAAAAACAAAACAAGGAGATCTGCAGGGATCCTAATCATACTATATATATGATGAGGAAGTATACTTTGAGCTAAGGCCTCACATGTGGAGGAAGGTTTGGTTTACACACTAGGATAGGCTGGCAAAAAACTCATTACCACTCTGAGTGTTTAAGTGAGAAACCCAGGTTCACTGAGGTCTCACCAACTGCCCTATGAGGGCTAGAGCCGGTCCGGTCCACAGCTCCTCTAAGCTCCGGGACCCGGGTTTCCTCACCATGTACACCACTGTGGAACGGGAGGGGAATGCTGGCTGCTGGTGGCAGAATCCACCCCGTTAAGGCGGGAAAGGAGCTTGCATCAAAGCTGGAAGCTGCAAAGAGCCAAGATAGCAGCAGAACTCCAGGGCAGGGGGCTGTGAGGAGGCCGAAGTCCAAACCTCTCCTGCCGGTGATCATGGGAGCCCTGAGCGGCACCGCGGGGTGCCTGGCTTGCCTACTCCTAGCCACCCTGGCCCCAGAGCTCTTGGTCACATGTGGTTTCAATCACTGCACTTATCTGCACCATAGTCATCATCCTTGGAAGAAGACCCGATCTGTATTCCTGTCCAAATCGTTCAGGGGGCACAGATCAAATCTGGGAAGGCTCCCTCATCCTCAGCGGGTCAGACCTAGGGAGAGGCCTCGGGCATGTACAGTGATGTCCCACTCACACCCCTTCCCGCCTTTATTAAAACAGATCTGAAACAACAATGGCCTAAAACTTTCCGCTCTTTCATTTTACCCGGTCTGGTTAGAACTGTGCTCTTGGTCCACACCCGGCAGGGCTTTCTGCAGCCCTGGGGAGCAGGGAAGTGTCTCAGTCACTCCCCAAGTAAACACCAAATAAACAGCCGCTGCCCCAGGCAACTGCAGGCCCGGCCAGGCCCCGAGATTTTAGCCAGGGCAGGGGATGGGAGGGGCAGGCCCGGGACCTGGCTCTGACCACACCGACGCTGCAGGCCCGAGCACGTCTCTGTGGGTCTGGAAGCTCCTCAGGGAGGCTGTTACGGGGCTGGGGACTGGGAAGCCAGTTGAAGGGAGGCCCACCCATCACACGCGAACTGTCACGCATCCCCAAGACACCTTTAACATTTTTTTATTAGTACTTGCAGTACATAATGATTCCACTGCTCAGAGGGAGCTGGTCCATGTGCACAGCTCATCTCAGTTCTGTTCTTCGTCCCTTCCCCGCCATCCCTTCCTCTCCCTCCATCTCTCGGTCTCTCGCCCATCTGCAGATCTGTCTGGTTCCCACTCCCCATCTTTCATTTTGCTCTTTAGTTATCTGTACTCCGGGTGTCTCACACATGAGAAGCCGTGGGGTATGTATCTGAACCGCACAGACCAGCGCGTTAGTGGGCTCCAGACCGGACGGAGGGCGAGGGGACGCACAGGTAGGCAGACAATGAGATCTGGACTAGGTGTCTGAGCACACAGAGGCAGACATGGAGAACTAACAATCCCTCCCGATCGCGGTAATTCCTCTTTATTCCGGGGGATTAGGGTGGCCCTGCGGGGAGGACAGCAAATGGATGGGCCTGGTGGGGAGCTCGAGGAGCCCGGCCCGTGACAGCGCTGGGCCCGCAGTGGCGGGCGGGCTGGAGAGGCGTCCCAAGGCGCCGGGGGGCCGACCGCCCCGC